CAACTCTGCTCCTGTTGATAAAGTCGGTAGTAATTATTACGGTGGTCGATAGTTGCAGTACATTCAGGCGTGAACAAAGGCTGGCTGTTTTAACTTTTGTGAAGTACAAAGCTTTCAATACCGGAGAGAGTCAACTCAGAAATGAAGGAGGTCGTCTAGAAAGGTTCGCTTTTGAAGGCAGCTGAGAGATGTGTACTTCTGTAAAGCTGTCCCGATCAGCTGTTATGTTTATAGATTGTTTGAAAGGTTACATATCAAGAAGTCTTTGGTTTTGACAATGATCAGGGAATGGTCTGAGGTGCCCAAAGAAAGAAACACTTCTCTGGATCGGGGCATGAGCCGATGAAAAGATGTAAGAGATTAGCATAATGCCCAACTTTATCGAGAATAAGACTAGGCTTATTTACAATCTGGGTCAGTTCGTAGGTTTTGTATAAATTGTAAGAGTATTTCCATTCTGCGTCAGTTCTGTTTGAGTGAAATAGCTACTCCTTGTAGTGAATGTTGAAATCGCCACAAAAGTGTTGCTGAGGGATGAACAGAGAGGATGTTATCATTTTTCTTCGTTATTCTGTACTTTACAGTAGCATTATCCTGAGGGCGATAAAGAGTGAAGACAAAAGGCATGCTATGAATGAGGGCCACTCGAAAGCCCATAAATGGGAAGTCAGGATTCACGTTTTTGGGGTCTCTGTCACAGGGGAACCCATCCTTCTTATAGGCCCGAAGCCCATGTTTCTGTTTTTTTGAGGGTCATCTTTGGTGAGCAGGGGTGATTATTCCAGGATCGGGGTTTTGAATAGGAATAGAGAGATCGAGTTCAGTTTCTGATATGAACAGGAGGTCAAGCTGGATCTCTTGACGGTGTAGCTCAACCTCTAGATAATTGGATCATAGAACCCTTATGTTAGTGAAGGAGATGGAAAATTTGGGACAACTTTATGTCTGGTTGAGTTGGGTTCGTCTAAAGTTTTTAAAAGTTTTTTTCATTTTCGTAATTTAAGTGAGGAATCCAGGTAACGAGATAGCAACACCTCAAGTTGTGCAGACAAACTTCAACCCAAATCAATCACCAGAAAACACAGCCGTAACTGTACCTGTCATCATGGCATCGGGAGAAACTACTGCACGTTTCATATTCCATTCACAAATGGCAGTACACTAGCCCCAATAGTATGCACCTGATGAAAGGTTAGCCACCTTAAGAATTAATACAAGGTTCGGATCCCTGACTATCAGGTAGACAACGCCGGAGAAGCGTTTACCTCCAGTACCTTTTGGTGAAGAGGCAACTAATCTAGGTTCGGGAAGAAATTACAGGTATACCACTCGAAGTGAAGCTATAAGGTTAACCCAGGAATCAGGCAGCAGGACTTCTCCATGGGTTACAAATATTATGTCTGAGCAGGGCCCAGGGGCAGAGAGAGACTGTATCAAATATGAGGACTAAAATACCCACTAGGAGAAGAGGAGTTACAAAGGCTGCTCGGAGAGGAGTCAGTCGTTTCCCACGTGACTGAAATTTGATATATATATATATATATATATAGATGTTCTGAAAGGTAGCATTTCATTCAGTGTGAAAATGGATAGAAAATCAGTTGCAATTTCGTCGTTTAATGTTCTTTTATTTCCAGAAAGAAAGAAAACTGTAAATATAGTAAAAAAAAAGTGCCGTTTATGGAAATTGTGCCATAGCTGAGAATAGAATTCGTAAGTCGTTCGCTAGATTCAGAAGTGGTCATTTTGATCTGGAAGACCTGTAGTCATTGATGATGATGGTCAAATTGAAATGCAAATAAAAATAAACGAAATCCATGGACGAAGTATCGCAGAAGTACTCCTCATATCTCATGCTATGTAGGGTATTTGAAAACACTTGGATACGTGAATCGTTACGATGCTTAGGTGCCTCACATAAAAGATTTAATGGGCCGCATTTCCATTTGTGATTGTCTACGCAAACGCAACATAAACGACTTATGTTTTGAAAAAAAAAAAACGATCACGGGTAATTTAAAATGGATTGTTTTTAGCTACGAGAAGCGAAACAGGTCATAGGGAAAAATAAAACAAAAGCCTATGTTCATCCAAAATTGATGAGGTTGTGTATCTGATGAGGTTGGAAAGATATTGTGTGTATTATGAGTTCCTTCCGCAAAATGAGCTGTTGAATTCAGATAAGTGCTGTTTCCAATTGGACCGACTAAAGACAACAATCGATGAAAAGCCCCCGAAACATCCAATCGAAAGGGTGTGTCGTCTTCCATCTTCATCAGGACAACGTCACATCTTTTTGCGGACCCATTTGGAAAGCCGATTTTTAACGCAGTTGAGCTATTCCTCCTTCATATGACGAAACTGAGCAAATATTGATAAACACTATATTAGTAATCATTAATTACACAGTTGCTATTATAGGTACATAGACAATCTATACGTCTCATCTTAACTTAGTGAATACAAAACAGCAAAATGTAGATATGATTTATTTAAATACACTTTTGAAACTGGACAATTAGAGGACTTTTAATCATAAATATTCAAAATGTACTATTTTTTCCGTTTTTTAAAGATATATGCACACAAATGTAAATTTTATGACAAAGTAAGATCAATCTTTTTATTTACATGTACATAGACCTCGCTCAACAGAACAGAATTATAACCAAAACGATTGTTTAAAGGTAATTTAAAATCTGCTTTTAAATCATAAGACATGATAGTCTGTAGGTTTTTATTTGACAGTAATATTTCGTCTTTTTAATTTGTATTATTTTGGAAGATTTTCTTATAATAATAAGAAACACATGCATATATATATATTTTCTTATAATAATAAGAAACACATGCATATATATATATATTTTCTTATATATATATGCATATATATATTTTTTCTTATAATAATAAGAAACACATGCATATATATATATATTTTCTTATAATAATAAGAAACACATGCATATATATATGACTTATTATCTGAATAATTATTTGTTTGATTTACAATAAATGTCAGTTGTAGACAGACTTAGGGTGTCAGCTTGACCGATGGCATCATCAGCTTGACCTATCAGCTTGACCTATCAGCTTGACCGATGGCAAGTGGGCCCTGACGGAGTGTCTCCCCTATATAAAAAAAAATGCAATAAAGGAACAAACACAGACAATTGTTGAGTATTAAAAACGAATAAGAACTTTATAAAGACATTTGAACATTACCAGTTACTCAAATTCAATGTGAGAGGAGATTTTCAAAACTAAAAATCATAAAGGAAAGGTTAAGGAATTAGTTATCTGAGGAGAATTTGGAATCATACATGTTGCTATCCATTGAAAAGGAATTGTTAGGTGAATTGGATGCAGAAGCAATTATTGGTGATCAATCATGAAGTGAACACAAACCATTGCTTTTAATATAGTGGACTGTATGTAATGCTCGATTGTCCTTTTGAACTCTTTCTTAATGTGTAAATTGTACAGTAAACTATTTAAAATATCAACTTAATATTGAAATAAATAAAATATTCAATTATGACATTGTGTATCTACATTTGGTATCTACTGATAGTAATATGTACAGTACATGTACACTGTAATTACTAAGAAATAGACATTTTCCCACAAAGACTTTAATTGTACTCTTTTACCATATGTTTTGTTTTGAAAACTTTATGTACTCGTTATGAAAATTAAATGAGAGCATTGTAGTTGTGGCTGTGTTCCTTTGTCTTCTAGTAACCAATATTTTAAAGCCCAGTTTGCCATTGATAAAAGTTACAGTATTTTTTTTACAGAATTTTTCATAAAACGCTTAGTGATTATTAGTTATATCTCCTTACAAAGCATTTATCATCAACAAATATTGATAAGTGACTCTAAATGACATCATTTGTTTTACGTGAAAATCGAGAAATTTATTTCTCTTTTGGGCGAAAATAAACATATAAAATCTGTACATAAAAATATCATAACCATAATATAGTTGTCGAAAAGTAATAGTTTTTTTTTTATTTTAGTTGATGCGTGTAAAATAACGAGCCTCATCAAATATAAACATAAATAACGAGCCTCATCAAATATAAACATAAATAACGAGCCTCATCAATATAAACATAAATAACGAGCCTCATCAAATATAAACATAAATAACGAGCCTCATCAAATATAAACATAAATAACGAGCCTCATCAAATATAAACATTGTCAAAAGATTGTGCTTCATGGCATACAATCTTTTGGTGCATCTTTATTTTAGACATAACTGATAATATATCGCACATCGATAGGACAGGAGTTTCAAAAACAGAATCTCTAGTGAAGGTATTTTATCTGGTTTGAAATTAGCAACTTCATTCTCTGAGGAAATCGAATTATATTAAAAGATATTGCTAACCGCCGATTTGGAAATAAACACAAGACGCCGTGGCCGACATATCTACACTATTAAAAATGCGACATATATGTATTATATATTTTAGAAGTATTTAACAGATCGATTTGGGAGAAGGAATGCTCGTCTAATTGCGAAATCAGATTTTTTTGCTTTAACTGTCATGAAACATTTGGGTATAGAGGACCTCAACGAACCTGTACTAAAGGCGAAATATTCAGCCTTATAGCGCTTTGCTCAAGGGCCTTTCGAAGGGAATTGCAATTTCTCAAACAGTTGTCTTTATCAACAAGCCCTGTCAACAAGCACTAAGCAAGTAAACTCAGAAATGGTCGTAGTGATGTATATTGGTATTTGTGCCACATTAAGAAACACATAGAACCAATAATAGACATGTTAACAGTTAACATACACACGCAGTTGGCGACAAAAACAACACTACAACACCGGCAGTGATGGACAAGAAAATTGTGCTTAATTCTATTTGTTTTCGTACGTATCGGGTTTTCCATTACAGCTCGCCACACGGGCACATTGCAGGCATGGGATCGTGAGATTGTTACAGAAGTCCCTCCAGCCCTTTTTGGGGATCCTCCCACTAGAATCACAGGGGTGGGGTCAGAGTAAAAATAAGTATGGGATATAACAATGGACAGAAACATGCATATCGGCATAGAAACCGAGAGAAGTATAATGGCGCATGCGCATTTGCGTCGATGATGAGAATGTTAAATGGAAGACGTGAAAGGAGGGAGCAAAGAGGGCCGGCATTACCGGGTGTTAATGTCATTCTGTGGTGACAAGATAATAGTCGAGCCAGGAAACGAATGGAGCTGTTCACACGAAGCATCTCTAAAGAGAGGCCAGTGTGACATGATGATCGGGTAAAGGGAGTCCTCATCAATCATGCCTAGAATTTCTCGGTCCTTGTAGACCTACGGTTCATTAGAACGAAAAGGGGTAGTGGGAGAAGGGACAAGAGAATGTAAAAAGCAAGAAAAAACAAACAAACAAAACAAAAACACAGGCAACAAACACACACACACACACACAGAGAGAGAGAGAGAGAGAGAGAGAGAGAGAGAGAGAGAGAGAGAGAGAGATTGGATTCATAATTGCCAGAAGAGAATGATTCAGATACAAGAGATGAAATGAAAAGTAATAAGAAATACAGAGAATGAATGAGAGAGTAAAAAATTGTAAGAATTATCCCATGCAACGTGTACTGTAGTTGAAAAATAAACACTTGAAATGTTATTCACCCAAACACGAGAGAGACACGGACAGACTGCAATGTAGGTATATAGAAAGGAAAAACGAACATTGTGAAGTTTGAAAGAAGATGGAAGGATTGTGAAAGAAAGAATTAAAAAAATAGAACTAAAAGAGCAAGAAAGGCAAACAGAAAGGGAAAAAAGGTAAGTTAGAGAGAGAAAAATATTTTACTCCCCCCCCAACAAAAATGAGCAGTTCCGATTCCATAGAAAGCGAGAATTGGTACCAAAAAGAGAGAAACATGAAGAATATAGATTTAAATTGAAGATAAAGAGCGAAAGAGAGAGAACGGAGTCACTAATAAATTTATATAACTGTCTTATTTTGTATATTTAACAATTAACAGTATAATGGCTCTTTATTTTACTATGGAATTAGTTTCCCCTGTGAATGAATCATTCGTAACTATATCATTGACCACAGCCCTTTATATGAAAAAAAAACATCCTCTCATGTCTTGTTCGGTTAGACCTGCCTGAGCGTAAAAAGTTGGGAGATTTTGCATGAATAATATAAAACTATCTTGCTTAGGTTTCGGTCTTCAAAATCATTTGATTTCACATTGCTTTCAATCATTTACTAAAATAATTTGTTTTTCGTTATTAAAACACGACCATTGCATTTCTAATTTATTTGTAATGCACTTGTCTGTTAAAAACATAATGTATTTGTTTGTTAAATCATTTACTTGTTAATCCATTTGTGGATTCATTTATAGTACATCGTTGTTGTTTATAAAAACTACAAGACTATATTCTTCAATATTCCTCTCGGCAATAGAATATTTTAACACTCTACTTGTCTCGTGCATGTTTTTTGGCAAGATATAGCATCATGCAGGTCTATCATCTTCTTTCCTTCAGTCTAGATTTGATTCCCAACGTCTAGTTAAAATCGTCATTCAAAGAGGGGAAATTTCAGACCAGAGACGAGAGTAAAGGGAACGCGACGAGGTAATTGATGAACTATTTCATTTTTTCCTGTTTTTACAATGTTCTAAAAAACAGTCTCACTTGGATCATATTGAAGAGAAAAATAACTTGTCTTTTAATAATTATTTTTATTGACACTCTCATGATTTAAAATGCTGTCACTGCTAACATTTTAATAACATTAATATCACGAACAAAATCTAATGATTATATCAATAAATTTAATATAAAATTAATTATTTTAATAATTTTTATAGGTATTTATTTGATACTAGTATAATGACTATAATATTTATTTTTGTTAGAACTCTACATAATTTCTTCTTATTATCATCTTATTAATTAGTTTCGCCATTTTCTAATCTTCATTATTCAAACGTTACCACTTGAAAACTAATAATAAAGTCATATCTGACCACAATAAACTTACAATATTACTTCAACTCTAAGAATTATGATACACTGAAAAGATATCATCATCGTTGTTATCACTATCATCATACTCATCAACATCAATAGCAACAAGTCAGTTTTATTATTGATATTTCTATTTACGATTAGTGACAAAGTTTACAGAGGATATTGTCATTAATATTGACCATGGCTGTTATCGATATTCAGAATCTGTAATAACCTCAATGATTGTAATTATTTTTGTTCGAATAATATGAGTCGTATCATCAGCAGACAAACAGAAGAGCTTTTCCCAAGTTCAAATGTTTTACGGATGTTTTTGTCTCTTTATTGACTCATTCTTCATTATTTTCTTTTATTTTTCTTCAAGCTTCTCTCTAATATTTTTCAGTGTTGTTCCTCTTTTCTTATCGTTTTTCGTTCTTCTTACATCTTTTTATCCGCATGAGGCCATTTTGAGTTCCTCTATAGAAAACGAGAAATGATATAAGTGTTTTCAAGTAGATTGTGAATGAACAGCTTCCAGCCCCCACCCCACATATCTAGAACAAAAACATTAAAAGGGAGAGTGAGTGTGTGTGTGTGTTAGCAATAAAATTCAATAAATAAATAGAATAGAAAATCATTATAAAAACATGTGAGAAACAAGTGACTAAAGAATTTCTTTCTGAAAGAAAGAAAGAGAGTAAGAAGGAAAAAGTAAGAAAGAAAGAGGATTAAAGAAAGGAAAGTGACGATCGTATTTGATAAAAGCAAGTAAATAAATGCAGAAAACAAAAGGAAATGAAACATATTCAGAGATAAAAACGTGCAAATCAAAGTGAGGATAATTATGCTACAACTAATAATGATGACATGTGGCTTGAGTGGATGAGAGAGTCACGTATTTTCCTCGAGTGCAACATGTCGTTCTTCAAACTCGGCTTAAAATTTTTTTCCGTTTGACATAAGACAATCTTCTCACTCATATTTGCCTAAACCTGGATTTATACAGTATGAAAATAGACAGAGTAAATAATAGTAATGATGATGATGATGATGACGATGTAAAGAAGCTAATGATACTCATGATAATGTCACGATAACAAAACTAACGCTGATCATGTGACTAACTTTGAAATGTTGGTGATATTGGGCAATGATGATGATGATAAACATAATTATTAGCTAAAAAGAAAACGAAGCTGCAATAAAAAGAAAGAATAGGAAAGAAGATTTAAAGGGAAAATCCAGCCATAAAGGCAAATAAGAGTTGATAAGTAAGAGATGTTCTGTAATAGGCAAGCAAAAGCATCGGCACTTTAGGCGCCGGTAGGGGAGGGGGTGGTGTATTTTGTAAAGTGTGGATATTAATGCGATAAAGCGCTTCTTTTATTTTGTCAATAGTCTTGTACTGTTTGTTAATTGAAAATTCATTGAAAATAAATGAGAACTTTTTCGAGTGTTTACTTCAGCAATTTTTACGGCAGTCCGTTGCTTTCGGTGCGGTATATAAATACGCAAAAATAAAAAATAAAAAAAATAAATAAAGAAAAAAGAAAAAAAAAGGCAGACATTGCTATGTCATTGAAAAACGTTACAAACAACTGAATTAAAATATCATTTTAAAACTTTTCAATGTCTGCATTGGGTCGGCTTTGATTGTTTATTTATCAAAGGACGAAGAAACTGTGCCTGAAACGGAATCGTCTTTCAAAGAGTGAGATTCACTTCGGCAAAAATATCTGATATTTTGCGCTCATAAAATAAAAGAATATATTGTTAATATTCTTATTTACTGGAAAATATAAAATTTTTCGAGTGTGCAGGCCGATAGACGTAATACACACAGTTTAATAAATAAAATAAATGGGTGTCTATTTGAAATACGAAGTAACCACTGTAAAAACGTTTGAAGTAATAAAAATGTCGGATTGGGGATAAATCCACTAATTCTTTAGAAGCTTCTTTGTTTACGTTTCGGATTCGAAACTGTGCAGATAAAGAAGCGTTCAAGGAAATAATCTGAATGAAGAGGATTTACTTTCCTTTAAAAGAAAGTAGAATCTCGTGTGCAGCGATGTTCTTCGCGACCAAACGGCAGTTTCTCCTACAAAGGGGTACGCAGGTTCGATCTCTGTCGGGGAACTCATTTTTTTTGACTAAGGTTTCTCGACGGCTCAGATAGATAGACGTAATACACAGTTTAATAAATAAAAATGGAGCGGCTATTTTAAATCCAAAGTAACCACTATAACAAAAAAGTTTGAAGTAATAAAAATGAAAAACATAAATTTAATCTATTTTGGAACTGGTTGTATTTTGTTGCGGTATATTGTTGGCCTCAAAGCAGAATGGCCAACAAAATTTACATCTGAAATGTCACTGGCAGTGATAGGAAATGGAGTAAATTTCAACAAGACGGTAGTTTCATTTATTTTATATATGGCTAATAAATGATTAGCAAGAAAGAAAATAAACTTGTATGCATGCAAAAGTAGCTGAAATGGAAGAATACATTAAAACGTAGCTATCCGAATTTGTTTGCGTGTACGATACACGTGTGTGTGTGTGTGCGTGTGACTTCAGCCATTTAGATATACCCAAGCAGAGAAAGAGTCCCGTGATGGTGTTGTTACTACAGTATTCTGGGAGGAAAGACGGAAAAAGAGGAAGAAACAGGAAGTGTCCCATTTTTATAGATGTTTAACAGCACCACTTAAAGCTAATTTAAATAACTTTATTGATTGATACAAGTTATATTTGAATCTCAAGAACAAACACGGAACTATGCTCACCGAAAGATAGCAGCTGTTCGTAAATGTTTTTAAAATGAAATTTATTTAGTCAACAATATTAACTCGTAACAATATTAAATCCACTTCATTTATTACAACCACAATTATTCATGAAACAATTAAAATATAATATTTTTTCTCATGAACTCAATTTTTCTGATTTTCAAATTTTGTAATGAGTGCAAAGTATTGCATTTTTGAACAGTCATATTTCTGCTCGATCTTTTAATATTATTCTTGGAATTCGCGCATGAATTTATGCATTCAAATGGACATACATTATTTGTTTTTTATCACTTCACTATCATGATCAACCAAATCCACTCGTTCATTCTCTTCAGCTACGTTTTTTTTTTTTAAATAACGTTTCATTTATTTCGCTCAATATGGATAGTGGCTGAATATTCTTCCAATTACTTTTCAACAAAACTTCGCTTTGGCTTTGATTCGAATTCGAGTAATGGTTAACAAGCTACCCTGTTTGAGCATTATGATTGAATAATGAGTTCTATCCTCAATGAGCGTCCATAATTGTGACCCTGTATCAAAACTAAGCAAAGTAAACAATGTAAGGTTAACTATTTACTTTGAAATACGAGGGTTTGTTGACACATTTCCCCAAATCTGACCAAATAAACGAAATATGAAATCTTTTTGGAAGGTGTTCTTGGATGGTGAGATCATTTTTCAGTACTGCATCATAAGATTTTGAAAAAAAAAGAAGCAAATTTTAAAGATACCTAAATGGTGCTATAGGTTAAAACAATTTTCTTTCTTTTTAAAACAATTTCCTTTCTTTTTTAAACTACTTCATGTGAAATAGGTATTGACGTATTAGAATCAAAATAAATTCGAAACGGAACGAACTGTTCGAGCAACGTATGCATATATATGAAGTTGAGTGATGCAGAAAAAGATGTTTTCTCATTCTGTATCGTTAACCGGCTTCTTACGAATACACAGGATCTAATGAAAATATGAA